CTAGAGCCTCCAGAGGGACCGTGGCCCTGTTGATAACCTTGATTTTGGCCCAGAGAAACTGATTTTAGAACTGTGGCCTCCAGAACTGTGAGCGAATATATTGTTTTTTAAGCTGTCAGGCTTGTGGTAATTTTTTAATAATGGCCTTAGGAAGCTAATATGGCCTGTCACAACAAAGAATTATTGGTCCCAAGTTGTTAGTAGTACTGAGCTTGAGAAACCCTGTCTTAAGGGTAGAGTAGATTTCTTTACTTCTACCCATGGTACACTGCTCATGGCTACAGCTACTAGGCTACTTCTAAGATCCAAAGTCAATTCTGTTTGTTCCCAAACTTTTCTATGCCAGTTGTTAATTAAAATTTAATTAAATACTGAATAAACCAGTAAAATGTAAGATTGAAGATAATGATCTTAGATAATAGTAGTAAATGGTTGTACTTTTTATATTTTAAAACTTAAGATGCTTGAGGGCATATTGCCATCAGTTTTTTATTCTCTGCTTGAAGTGATTTTGAGGGCTTCTTTGAGTGACGGATTGGTGACTTATGAATCATAAAACTGTAGGTCTTCAGTTGTACCACTAGAGGGTTCACTTTTCAAAACTAATTGCCATTTGGCCTTGGATTTTAGGATCATAGAACTTAGTAGGTAAAAGGGCCTTAAAGATCATCCACTTTAACTCATCATTTTACAGCTGATAATTTTATTACTTATTTCTTTTCAGTACCTTTATTTTGCTTCACTTATTTTAATATGAAATAAAAATAGCTCTTGATAAAATTCCCTGATCTTTAATAATATGGATACCTGTCTTACCCATAATTCTATTTCCCTTAGGGTGTTGAGTCACAAATATCAATTCAATTGAAAACACTGCTTTATTTGTATTATGAAATAAGTCACTTGGATAGTTACCCATTTGGAGCACATTGCTGGTTAATAAACCCCACATTTCTCATTGTTTCCATAAAAAATCTTGAGATTTATATTCTTTGGTTTATTATAGTTGAATAACACAAACACATTCAGAGGATATTTCTGGCACTATAAAATTAACTGTTACAGTAGTTGCTTTTATCCTAAAGAGGATATTTTTGTTTTCTTGGTGATACCTCTTGTATAGGTTCTCCATTTTGTTAAAGCATTTTCTCCCTTTGTTGTATGTTGATACTTTCCTTTGTTGACAAGAATTACACTCTTGGCCCACCGTCCTTAGGGATGGGATATTGTAAATATGATTGATGGCAGAGAACTAAGCGTGTTCACAAAATCATGGGGATTAAAAAAGCTTTAAAACTGAGTGAAAAGTTCCTGCTAGGATTTGCATAAAATTCATACTGTATTGTTGTTGTTAGGTGTCGTCAAGTCTGGTTCCGACTCATAGCAACCCTGTGTACAACAGAATGAAACACTGCCAGGTCCTGTGCCATCCTCACAATCGTTATGCTTGAGCCTATTGTTGCAGGGTCTTCAGATGGTAGAACATGCTTTAAGTTGTACATGATGTGGGCTAAACAGCAGACAGCCATAATGTACTTAGACAAGAAGTATGGTGTTCATTGGGTTTTAAAGCAGAATGATAGAAATCCTAAGAATAATAATCTCACATCATTTCAAGAGCGTTTTGTTGTTGTTCCTATAACAACAAATTGTAAATGAGAACAAGGTGTTTCATTATTCAGTTTAAATCCTTTTTAATCTCCATATAGGTATGAGAAACTTGGTAAAAAAGTATGAACCACCCAGATCTGAAGAAGTTGCTGTTTTGAAACAAAAGTTGGAGAGATGTCACTCTGCTGAGCTTGCGCTTAATGTAATTACGTAAGTAAATATAACAGTGTCATTCAAGAATGGATATAACTGCTATCCACTTCAACTTACCCTTAAAATAAATTATTTAACTGGTGTTTCATTCATCTGGGGAAAACTTACCCATCAAATCAGATTTTTTTCTTCTTGAGTGGATATTTCTTAACAGGAGAAAACACAAGATAATTTGGGCTTTCATAGTATAATTCTGATTCTTTCATGACTGACGTGTTCTTGGGCTTGTAGGCCCTGTCCTAGTCTGTTACTCCTCCTGGAATTCCATGGGCAGAGTCTTCCTAGGGAATCCGTGAACCTTTCCTGCCATTTTAATCTTTGAGCACTTCACAGGTCTGATATATGGTCTGAGGAACAAGTATAGTGTTCCAGATCTATTTCTGTTTGAGTAGGGAGACTTGGCATGTTTTCTTTTAGTGGTAAGCTGTGTATTGAAGACAGAACCGGTGGGAAGATGTGCTCCTCTTAACAGCTATAAGGACACCCTTAATGGCTTACTGATTTGTAAGCTAAATGTGGAAATCACTATATTTATGCATTTTATGTTGGCAAATTATTTTCTTAAACCTAATCTTTAGGAGTTTAAGTAGTTGGGGATCTGGGCAGGTGTTAGGAATGGTGAATCTACCTTAAGAAAACTTAAAAATATTTTCTGTGGAATGTATTCTGTCTCTAAAGTTCTTCTCGTTCTTATTTGTAAAGTTTTAGTGGGAATTGGTGCTGGCATCTTGCAGGTAAGATGCATTTTAGATGTTTTTGATTTTTTAACTGGTGAGTATATGCTAGTGGACAATGAATGAGGAGTCAGAGAAGCATTCCAAGGGGCTTCAGATCAGGTACACTTGACTAAAATTCCTTAACTATACATATGTAGTGGGAGAATATCCACGGTTTAATGAAGGGTACAGAATATGGGACTATTTTATTGTACTCATAACTATAGCTGCTAAGCACATTTTAGCATACAACTTGAAATTTATAGATTTCACCCCTGGATTTCAGTGGTAACTAACAGAGGACAAAGGAGGGGTTACAGAGAAGTAAAGGAATGTTGACTTTTATGAATAAAAACATTGCAGTGACCGTTAAACTCTTAAGCCTACTCTCCTAGCTAGATAACTGAGTAGACCATAATCCAAAATCTCTAAATCTTCAGTGTTTACATCTTACTCCAAGTTACCATCTGTTTTGTACTGCCAAGCAAATTGTAAATATTGAAAAGTTCTTGGAGTGTTTCTCAAACTGTCTTTATGATGGACTTTTAAAAAATGTTTGTTACATATACTTCTGGAAAGTACAATAAAAACTGAATTACTCAAAAATGAAATGAAAGAGACATACAAAATATAAGCTTAAATTTTATTATTAGATTCATCAGTCATAAAATTAATCTGTCAAATTGCTGTAAAAATTAACACGTACTCAATTTGTGTTCTTACTGCAGGCTGGAAACAGTTTGTGGACTGACACTGGTCCCACACTAAGCAGTACTACTTTAGGATAAAATATTTGTTTTCCTTGACTAGAATTCTTTGATCTTTATTTTTTATTACACATGTAATACCTATATTGTCCTTATAAAATCAGACAGTACAGATAAAGCTAAAATTCCCTTTGACCAAAACCTAGATCCCAGTCATGACCTCAGGAGGTAACTTAGCATGCTGTTTGCCTTTCCCAACCTATTCTCTGTACTGTCTATGTGTGTGAATGAAGTTTTTTCCTTTTCATTAATGTTTTTAGACTTGTGCATATTTTACAATACTTAAAATACTTAATATTAGCGTTAATTTTTGCCAATCTGGGTGAAAAAATACTGTCATATTGGTGTTTTAATTTGCATTTCCCTGATTACTCTGAGATACTGATGTTTCTATGTTTAACCGTCATTTGTGTATCTTCTTCTGTATTGCTTATTTATAACCTTTGGCTAGTTTTCTGGCAAGTTGGTTTTTTGATTTGTAAGTTTTTATAGATTCTATATACTCATCTTTTTATATGAGATACGGTTATTTTCTTGTGCGTCTTTTCACTTATTGATGTACGAAAATGTCTTTTGCTTTATGCTTTTACATCAGAATACCTTTTCTTACTGTAATCTATTTTGTACTGCCTTTTGTTTAGCTGTTTAACCTTTAAACTGTTTAAACTTAGAATGTTTGTGAATAATGTGAGTAGAGATCTAATATTTTTTTCCAAATGAATAACCTGTTGTCCTAACCCATTTTTGACTATTTCGTATTTTTCCCTAGTTATTTGAAACACTCTTCATCATAGAGTAAATTCCCATATATACATGATCTGTTTTTTGGCCTATTTACACTAATCATTGGTCTGTTTAATTCTGTGTTAATGCCATACTTTTAATTACCATAGCATTTATGGAATGTGGTTTGATGATAGGAACAAGGTCCCCCATGTTTTTTTGCAGATTTGGCTTTTACATTGAGATTTTAATTAGCACTGCATTGGGCATACAGATTAATTTGAAGAATATTAAATCTTCCTATCTATAAACTGCGTCTTTGTCCATTTATCTAGTCGCCCTTGTCTTGCAATAGAGATATAATTTTCATGTTGCCTTCTTAGTTTATTACTAGATATTTATACTTTTTATTGCCACTATTGGATTGCTTATTGATGATTGTGTAATTATAGGAAGAAGAGGAAAGGCTATGAAGATGATGATTATGTCTCAAAGAAATCCAAACATGAGGAGGTATGTTTACTGCAAAGATGAATTTTTAAGTTATTTTGGTTGCACATTATGATGTAATCATATTAAGATTTATTTTTCCAGAGGACATACATATAGGTAGAGGTTTTTTAAGAAGTCCGTGGGTGGTGCAAATGGTCAAGCACTAGAGTACTAACCAATAGGTTTGCGGTTCAGACCTACTCGGCAACACCTCGGAAGTAAGGCCTCTGAAAGGTCACAGCCTTGAGAACAATGGAGTGTAGTTCTACTCTGCACACTGGGATTGTCATGATTCAAAACTGACTCAGTGGTAACTAAGAACATGGCTTTTTTATGCCTTCATTTCATGTACCCTTCTTTATGTACATTGTCCACTTTTAAAGGGATTTTTATCACCTTTGTCTTAGCCTATTCTGAAGCAGTATAATAGCTACTTGATGAAGAATCCTTTCCTGTGTTCATACAAGGCAGCAGGAATACTCATACATGCTCTACTTCCTACTCTCCAAGTATTTGTCCCACCCACACACTTTTTTTTTTTCCAGTTGTACCTGGTGAGTTAAGAGATAAATGAATAATCAGAAGGAGTCAGACCATAGCTGTAACCTTTGTTCCTCATTGGAGTAGGATGGTGGAATAATGGCAATATTACTATAAGATTGAACTAATACAAATTTTCCTAGTTTATCTACCTTCTGTAGTGAGCATGGTAAAGAGAACATTTTCCTAAAGTGAGGCAAGGATGTAAAAAATACTGGTTATGCTTCAGTATAAATGTTAAATTCTTACCATGTTTTTTTTTCCCCTTCTTAGGAAGCATGGACTGACGATGACCTGGTAGACTCTCTCTAACCATTTGAAGTTGATATTTCAGTGCTAACTAATCAAGAGAAGAAGGAAGCACATCTGGCATTTAACTTTATTTTAAAAGTATAGTGTGAAAACATTAAAATATATTAAACTTTATTTATGGTAATTTTAAACATGTTCCTTTCACAGGAGCTTTATGTGAAATAAAATAGCTTCAAAGAAGCCATAATAGCATATGGTTTGGATAACCTTGCCCTACCACTCTAGTATCGAGTCTTTCTTTCTATGGTAGCAAATTAAAGTTGCAATATATTTGCCTATAGTTTAAACAAAATATGGTAAATAATCCTATCCCTTTTGAAAAAAGGCACCCCAGAACTCAAAACTTAGTAGTCAGCTTTCTGAAATGCTTTTTGCCCTCTAGATACCTTTATAGATGGTTTCTCATGCCATCCTGATATACTTAGCTATGTTTGTTACTACTGGACCCCAGAATATACTTCAGCTGTTAGATGGCACTGAAAGCTAGTCATCTTGTGTAATAAATGTTTGTTTTCCTCAGTTATCTAAAAACATTTCCAAATGGGTAGAAGAAAGAAATCGAATATGCAGTCTTTGAGTAGGTATGTCTAGATAAAAATCTTAAGTTGCTATAGGAAAGTAGACCGTAGCAGATTGTATATTCATTTTCATAATTAACCTATTAGATCACCTGTACATAAAGCCATATAAATGTTGTAATTGCTAGGCATTTTTAGATTAAATATCTTCCAAGACATTTAAAATTAGTTGATTTAAAAATGTACCAAATTACTTGGGTATTAAATCATTACTGCCTCTACCTCACTGTGTGACCTTGGGCAACTTAGTAAACTTCTTTGTGCCCATTTTCAAGCTGAAAATGGAGAAAATAATAATGCTTACTCCTCATAGAATAATCCCTGCATATAGTAAGTGCTCAAGAAATGTTAGCTGTTAAAGCATTTGTTCAATTTAACAGTGATCTTATTACTCATTTTCTAAATTGGAACGAAATTGTGGATGACTTTATATTAGACTTTTTTTTTTTTCCCTTTCCTGGAAAACTGAGTTGAAATAATTTTGAGAAATTCAACTGCCCTTAATTTAATTAAATTTTATGGAGACACAGCTTGGATATACACATCTCTTCAGTCCCAAAGCATCCCAGGCTGCGCTTTCCTTAAGAGTATAGGTAACATTTTAATAAGATCTTAGTATATGAGGGCTGTGTTTACTATATGTATATGCTTCTATCTATCTAACCATCTTTTACATTCTAGGCTTGACGTTTTTTCTTTTTCCTTTTCACTCTGGGATGAGAGGAATAAAATTACATGAAGTGGGATGTCTCAAAAGTGGAGTGAGAGAAGCTGAAGTTTTTAATTAATTCTTCAGTGTAGTCCAGCATAAGTAGCATTGTTGCTAGGCCCTAGACAGAGGTGCAAAATGTTCACAGTTTATCTCCTGTTTCCCTTTCAGCTCACCAAACTTTGACACCAGAGCGAGGTCCATTTATCTCTGAAAAATTTCCCATCCCACCCCACTAAAAAAATTAGTGTTTGAGAGGTTTTATTTCAACACTGACCAGCTAATTACTACAGGGCCTACAATGTTAAGTGCCAGGTTTGCTGTTCCAGTTTAAGAGACAAACATGTAATTAAAATGTAAAGAGCAGGGTATGTCTGTCACGTTTTTATTTTATTATAAAGGCAGAAGAGGAAGCAGTAGCATTTCAGATGTCAGGACAGTTTGGACTTAATTAATATTGTAGGCAAGATTGAGGAATGGCAGGTAGGTCAGGATGGCTGAAGATTGAGATGTGATTAGTGGGAGAGAACGAAATTGCCTCGCATTAGAGTTTGGACCTTTTTGCATACTGTTGACATTTTAGGAGATGCCACTAGTCTGTATCGCATCCGATCTCTTCTCTGTCCTATAACATTAGGGAAGGAGACCAGTTAGGATATGACTGGTATTTCAGTTGAAGAGGAGTGTTGGAAAAGGGAAAGAAATATAACATAGACATGAGAAGAGACAGAATGAAGTGATGTCATTGTAATGGAGCCATAGATGTGTTTTGAGTTTTAGGTATCACTGTTCAACTGTCATTGAAGCTACATCAGGGCTAGCTCCCTCGATCGAAATAACTGCCTTTTTAGCATAAAACTGTATTAAGCAAAAATCTTTTAAACCTCTTGATTAGTTAACAGTTTTTGTTTTTTCCTATGTTGTACACACAATAAGAACAGAATAATGCATGTTCTTGCTTGGAATGTAGGCCTTTAGAAAATTTTTCATTACAGTGGGAAACCCTTTTCCTAATACCTCCCTTGGTACCTGTCTTACCCACTTTTGATTACTAATGATACTGCCATATACTTTTTGTGTGTCTTGTCTCCCCTGCACAGTTATGGGAGGGAATGAGTTGTTTAACAAATATATATTGAACAAGTAAATGGAATCTCTTTCAAAAGTGACCCATTAGCAAAAAACACTGATCTGAAGTTTCGTCTTCCCTGAGCTTTGCTCTGGTGCTAAAGTTTTAACTGCCCCTTAAGAAGGTGGGAAATAATAAGATTAAATGCTTAGCTATATGTAGACAGAAGTAATTAATTATGCAAGATATCCCTTGGTTTTATTTTAACTTAACCCTTGTGAATATTACACAAAAATACACATACAGAAGCAAATAAAACTATACAAACTAAATATCCAGCAGCTACAACAAGTAGTCAGAAGTTTAAAGATGGGGAAGCTGTAAGTGGCTGGTGAGGTTGTTTACATAATCAAAGGGGTACACAAAAACCAACTTGGAATTAATGAACGAATACTTTCAACAAAAGCATTCTAGTTTTTTGTATGTTTGTTTTACATAGAAAGAAATTGGTAACCTATAAAATGGCTGAATGGGTACATGCATTGATCAGTACAATGATCAACAATATTTACTGAATTGAAATTATTTACTGTTGTAAACATTTAACAAAAGCATTATGAGATCTAGATAGTCTTTGACAATTCCAACAAAATAAGTGGTATGTTTAAAAAATAAAGCAATAGATCCATTTTATATATTTTCTTTCAACAGTTCCAGCAAGCGAAATCGCACAGTATTTTAAAAAAGTATACAGCAAAGATTGTTTCTATTATTATGGCAAACTCTGGAAACTGTAAATACAAATAAAGTCATTGAACAGTCGAACGGTCATATTCCTAGTAAGAACAGTCTATAATCCAGTTACAGTCAATTGTCAATAGAGAATGCTTTTTCTTGTCAGTTGATTTCATAGTTCTTTTTCCAAGAGACAGCAAAACTTTGGCAATTGGATATACTGAAAATATATTTTCAAAGTTCAAGATACAGTCATATCATTTTGTGTTGTGAAAGGTGATCTGTACACCAAGGCTCAGAGGTTGGTAAAGATTGATTCCATGTGGAAAAAGTGCAAATATCCTGCACAGATAGCTTACAAAGCTGCTGGCACGGTTATTCACCAGCAGAATCTTGGGGTTTTGCTTGCATAGTTCACACATCACTGGGAATGTGGAAAGGTGTGCTGTTTTTTGGCAAGAGCAAAGGAGACATACTGATGTGAATTACCATGTTGGGCGTACTGAATCCATGCAGAACACTAAGGTGAAGGCTGCTACCTGACATCATTCGTTTTTGTATACTGATTTTGTTTTTGTTGAAGCAGTTCTGTTATGGCCAGAAGCTTTTTCAGTACATGCTAGACAGAAGGGAAAACAAAGTATGAAAATAATTAGCAAATACATGAAAAGCTCAGTCAAAAATATTAGGATCGGAATCTAGATTTGGGAAAAAAAACACGTCAAGTCAAAGGAATTTACAAAATATAACTACTATTCTACCCAAACATAGTCATAACCAAGTTAAAAGAACTTTTGTAGACTACAGTGACTAGATATTCATTTGCGTCTGGCATTCTCCTATCTATTCAGGCTCAATCTTCTAGGATAGACTATCTTGCCGGAAGACAGATTTGTCATTAAAAATAACACATCATAAGCACTATGATGTCATTTAAGGGTTATTGGCTTGCAACCTAACACTTTCTAAAAATTCAATCTTTAATTTTTAAAGAATCATGGAAGAAATATGGCTACATCATGGGTCAACTTAAACAGCTACTTTACTGTCTTTAAAAAGTTTTAGTTGGTCCAAATGCTCCAATAAGATTTATTTTTATTTCTAATTTAATATCCAAGACAAGTCATATAATGAAATCAGACTCCAGTGAAATAAGGAGACATCTATCTCCATACATGCCATGCATGTGCACGGAAGGCCCATGACACATATTCTAAGTTTCTAAAAGTGACTGGGATTCTAAAGAGCTGCACTATTGTCTAAACTTGGTAAAATTGAAGATTCTGGACTTTCAGATTAAGAGAACTTGGAATCATAACACTCAAAACTTTACTCTCTGCTACAAGATCCCTAGCCAAATAGCCAGTGTAGTGACAGCACGCTTATCTCCTAAGGCTATGGAAGGCTCTATGAAAAAGCGTGTGCTTCCATGTATAAAACCGTCCCCATATACAACCTTCGGTGGTTACTGGCCTGCAACCTACTGAACGCTTTTAAAAATGTGTTTCACTTTTAAGAACTGAGGCCATTCAAAACATAATTCATTTTTCTCTTCTGGAAGGTAGTATCTTCAAGTTAAATATCTCTAATATCTTAAGTCCCTTCAAATCCTGGTCTCTCTTCTTTGAATATATTTCAGTCTGTATCCCTTGTTCTAGATAGCAAAAGTCTACTAATGTAGTCAGGGTTTCTCAATGCGCGGGCCATGATTCACTTGCATCTGAATCCCTAGAGGAGCTTGTTAGAAATGTAGATTCCAAGGCTGCACTCCAGAATCTGTGGTGTAGGGCTTGGAATATATATTTTTATCAAACTTCCCAATCACTATGATCATGCACTGTATGTGTGAGAGAGAGAAAGCCACATCACTGTTCGCTTACAATTAGCTCACTTGTCTTTTTTCCACCTATGCCACTAAATTGAACACCACTGTTTTTTGGTAGTTAACATTAGATTCAAGAACAAGATTTGACATTTCATAGTATCAAAAGTACATCACCTTTGTCTGGGCCCATTATTCCTATCTGCCAAGATACTCTTGGATTGATTCAAACTCTCAAAAATTTAATATAACTGAAAAAAAATAATGACCAGGATTCATCTTTTTATTACCTCTGAGAGTCTTACGCTGACATTTTGGTTAAACACTAATGAAATACTGTTGACAAAGACTGGCAAAAACCTACCTGCTGTGCACCACGCTCATTACTGAGCGTTCGCAGTTCATCTGAATGGGCCACACAAATCTCATGCAAGGCAGCTAAATCACGGGACAGGTCAGTTCTAGAATGATCTGTAGTCTCCGGAAGTTCAGGTACATTCTTTAAGGAAATCACAAAACTGCATTTAGAAATACAAATCTTTAGAGTCTCTTTGTCCCCTGAAAAGATCCTAATTGGTTATAGTAAGACAGAATTTTTAGCACATAATAGTTATCTTTCTCTTAAAATTCTAAGGATTCTTATCATCAAAATGTAGTATTTAGTGCTAATTCTGATAAAATATAGCTTTTGTGAGCTCATTCACCGGTTCCATTTTCTTCCGTAGCATGGCAGAATATGGTGCAATATTAACTACTGTTCTGAAGAACTGCATGTCCTAAGAATTAACTTTGTATTTATAAAGACCAAATAAACAGTTTAGGCATTAACTGTTAATATACATAAAAATTCTTCTTTTGCAGGCTGAATTTCATTATTAAGCTACTGTCGTTTGTCCAGATAGAGCAAACATGTAAGTAGGAACTGCACTACAAAGGTGTGATACGAATGTGTCAGGTCTGTAATTATCTGTGAACTCTGCCCAAAACACTTGTAATGTGAGGAAATAATCAGTGTTAATTATGGTACCTTTAAGTAAGGTTTATAAAGCAACAATCACTGTGGTAAATTTATAGTGCTTTATTATTAGCACTAAATGCCACTGTTATTTTGAGCCTTGGAGTAAAATTTACTTTTTTTTTTTTTTTTTCCAGAATGTTGACAATATTTGCTATACATTCCTGAAATATACAAAACACTCAGTTTTCTATGGTATGTTGTTGTTGGTTGTGTGCCACTGAGGCACTTTCAACTCCTAGCAACCCTATATGACAGATTAAAACTGCCCTGTAGTTTCCTAGGCTGTAGTCTTTATGGGAGCAGACTGCCAAGTCTTTTCTCCTGAGAAGCCACGGTGGGTTTGAACTTCCAACCTTTAGGTTAGCAGCAGCCAAGCACTTGAAAGCTACTGCACCACCAGGGCTATGGTACAGAGAAATACAATTAAGCAGAATGCCATTCATTCTTATTAATTCATTAATTGATTCACTTATTCAGTCAGTGATTGAGGAATTACAGAGATAGACACTACAGTACTTTCAGAGAATTTACAATCTAATGTTAATTATTAAAGATATACAGAGGATACTCAGGAAGCAGAATGAAAGGTATTTAATTCAGGCTTAGGGCTTCCTGAAGGAGAGAAAGTTTGAGGTAAGTTTTGAAAGATGCATTCGATTTATACAGGGGCAAAGAAGAGTATAAGGAGACTGGCAGAGTATTAGGACTGTACTCTTTTTGGACTCGATAAGCAGTTAGAAACGCTAGGTTGTGTGGCATAACTAGGAGAGTGTAGAAAAAAACTGGCTGCAGGCACTTTTGTGATTATGGAAAATAAATGGAGCCCTGATCATGATTCGAAAATCCTAGAACCCCAGAAATAACAGCTTAAGATAAAACTGTTGTTAGTGGCCATGGAGTCAATTCTGACTCACAGCAACGCCCCGTGTGCAGAGTAGAACTGCTCCATAGGGTATTCAAGGTTGTGACCTTTCTGAAGCAGATCGCCAGGCTTGTCTTCTGAGGCACCTCTGGGTGGGTTCAAACCTCCAACCTTTCAGCTAGTAGTCAAAGACTTAACTTCTGCGCCACCCACAGACTCCTATATATCTCCTTATTGCAGCAAAAATGTCTTTTTCAATTACTGACCAACTATATATTTTTTCCAACTGTATTTCTTGGTAATTACAAATATTCAGATTTTCAAAACTCTCCAGTTCATATATAGAAACAAGACGGACATTTAGCATTTGCCCGTTTATCTCTCAATTTCATTATAAATGGGGAGCTATATGCCTTAAATAATTTCTTATACTCTAATTTTTATAACCTTGGCTACAAACTAGTGGCCCAAAGGCACTTTGCTTGACTGCCACAGTAGTGTGATGGTTGTTATGTCTTTTTAAGTGAATGTGAACACATTAAGGCAGAACATGGACAAGCTACCCTAGCATTCCTTCATGTCAAATACCTGGCCCAATTCACAAATATGTTACCTTCCTGATTTATATAAATATGAACTGATTTACATACTTAGTAATCATTTAGTTTTAAATTATTGATTCAACATTTGAAAATCTATAACCATTAATTGAGATAATTTATTAAGAAACCCAGGGTTTTAGAAATTATAAAAATATCTCCTACTTTAAGTTTTGAAATCACAGTTTATTATTTATAAAGGCCCACCCAAGTGGGTCTTAGGTAATCACACTGAATGAAGTATATACCACCAAAAAAACATGTATTTTATTTCTAAAAAGCCACAAGAACACTCATTTTCCAGTCTATTTATTTCACATGATCATGCCAGAGTTGATTCTGACTCATAGTGACCCTATATGACAGAGCAGAACTGTACCACAGGGTTTCCTAGTCTGTAATCTTTACAGGAACGGATCCCCAGGTCTTTTCTCCTGCAGAGGTGCTGGTGGCTTTGAATTGCTGACCTTTGAGTTAGCAGCTGAGTGCTTAACCATTGCACCACCAGGGCTAATTGGTTTCAAAGCCCACATAATAGCAGCAAAGTAAAAATAGCTAGAGGCAACAGAATGTCACAGCAGTTAGATGGGACTAAGTTCAAAAGGTAATGACCAAAGGCCAAGACAGAAAGAAACTAAAAAAAAATCATACATGTCATCCAGAAGCACAACAGTGTATGTTTGATGTAATCTAAGAATGAATGCTGGTAGCTAATCAAATGAACTAATAATTTGTTTAGAAAGGTAGACAAAAATACGTGGTTTCTTGGTCCCCCCAACCCCTTTCTCAGAACTGGATAGAAAAATCTATAAAGATTGTTGCTTAAATTGGTTAATGCTCAGCTACACTAAATATAGGTCTCAAAGAACTTGAAAAATACATGCATACCCCAAGTTCATCCAAAAACATGATCATACGATGTTTGTTACTTTTGATGAATGGATTTACTCCTTCCATATAGGGTTCCTAAAAAACAGAGAAATAAGCTTATTATATGCATCAAAAAACAAGCATTATTGTCTGATCTATCATGCATGCAGCAAGAATTCTTATAAATCTAATTATGTCCATCAGTAGCCAACACATGTCCACAAGAATTTATCTCATCATATGGCAATAGTATTTTCCTTCTAATAGAAGTAAACAGCTACACTGAGGAACTGGGGGACTTTTCATGAGAGAATGAGAAATTCTGGAGCAAACCAGAACACATAGCTAGCTGACACAAATTGATTATTTTATAATTCATTAAAAAATAATTACCGAGAAACTCTTATTTGCCAGGTACCATGACAAACATGGGTCCATACCAGGGGTGTGGGTTTAGCAGGCAGACTACCAGCGATTAAAACACAGTGTGATAAAGACCACAACAGGAAAATGTTGATAACCTGCTTCAGGATTCAAATAACTTAAAAAGTTCAATCACATATGTAAACTGCTCATCATACTAAAATCTGCTATGTTACAAAACAGGAAAGAGTTATTAACACAAGGTCTCTTAAAATCTGTAAGAAACCTACAGAGATAAGGACCTCAGTAGGCAATTCAAAAGAAATATTCAGTCTCTAAGAGTAATAAAATAATGAAACAGAGAGTAACATTATGTCTGTCAGATTGGCAAAAAATAAAAAATAGTATCCTCAGTTTTGCAAAACTGTGGGAAGTAGCAAGTCTTATATTGCTGGTGGGCAATCCTATGGTACAGAGCAAAAACGTATAAAATGTATATACTTCTTTAAATTAGTAATTCTACTCCAAAGTTAATTTAAGGAGATAATTGGACATGTTTGAAAGGAAGTATATCTAAGGATACTTGTAACAGCACTATTTATAATACTGGCAAGTCAGAAGCCATCTAAGCATTCAATAAAGGATTAGTTAACCTAATTATAGGACATCCAAATGATGGCATACTAAGTTAACCAGCATGAATAATAAAGTTGTTATATATTTCCAAATACAAAAGAAGTTTTTCAATATTAAATGACACAGCAGGTGACAGTCTGATCCCTACAAGAATATTAAGTCATTATCCTTAAGTAGAAGGATCATGTGTGGGTTTTTTTTTTTTTAAAATAACTGCATGTTTATATTTACGGTGAATGTTTTGTGAAATAATAAAATAGATTTGGGTGCATTTAAAAATATTGTCACTGACTTATATTTAAATTTGTGGTAACTGGAGTGTACTAGATCTTGAAAAAATAATAGTTTTCTATAGTGGCTAAAGGCTGGTTTTTGTAATTTCATTATTAAAATGTAAAATCTAAAAACATTTTTAAAATATAAATTCTCTTTATGAAATGTCCACTGCTGAAAATTCACATAAGCTGCATTTTATGGTTTTATCATGTCAGTTTCATTCCTAAATCACATTTTAAAGTATCGAAATGTTTTTTACCTTAGCTCCAAACTCCACAAGATTTGCTAAATTCTGCACAGACTTAGCCACTAATATCAGTGTTCTTGCAGCAATAGGTGATGGGGAATCTATAAGAAAAATGGGCACAGTTAATGACACCAATTCCAAAGGTACTTCCAAGTAAACCATTATAAATTTAACACTTTAATGTTTCTTTGTTGTTAAAATACTAACATTCTTCTTTCAGAACTCAATGTTTTTTTAAAAATATATGACCTACATAAGTCAATAGAACTTCAGTTAAAAGAGAAAGTTAATTCACTTATCAGTGCTTCTAGTTTTGTCAAAAGAGTACTACAAAACCCAGCAATCCTCAACTGATTGATAGTATTTCAGATTATTTCAAAGCTTTATCTTTATCTGTAAAAAGACTCACTCCACACTCCCTTCAGGACAATTCACAAAGCTAATTTTTACCCCCTCAGGTTAGCAATTTGCAATCTGAGCAATTCCCTGCTCACAACCTCCAATGACTACAAATAATTCATTCTAAAGTTAAAGAGCAAAGGTAAAGTCTGGGACCTCTGCTTTATTCTGAGGGGAAAAAAAAACATGAACTTTAATAAAAGATCAGTCAAGATGCATTTTCCTAGAGAATATATAATATACTGGGATATAAATGAAAAGTGTCTGTGGCTATTAAATTTAAGCCCTGAAACTTAAGATTCTTATTTAACAGTAAAAAACCCATATAGTCTACTTGACTGCCTGACTTTAGATCATACTCTACTGTACTTTAACCAGCAACTATAAATAGTGTTGCCTACTGGTCCAGAGGCCAACATTCAGATAAATCTGTCCAAAAGGAGTTCAAACCCTTAATTCTTAGGAGATTGAATTAGGAGATTCAATCATTTTAGTAGCAGTAAAAGACAATTAACAGAGATGTTGACAGCTATAAGTTAGTATTTTCCAAAATATTTTTAAATACAACTTTGAGCTTCAAATTATTAAGTAAAAATGCTTCAGGTTCCTTCTGTTAGTGGATCTTTATTATATTTCACATCACAAATTTCACTCTTCTCAAAGCCTACAACATTTGAAAGTCATTCCATAACAGACATATGGGTAATAAGCAAAACCAAATCTGGTTTATTAGAGTTTAAAATTGCCAATCAACATTATAGAACTGGTAACAAGAAATCTCTAGTGGGGAAAACCAGGGCCGCTTTCTTCATAAATACTCATAGAACACTACGGCAACTGTAGATAGAATTTTAATCTGATCTTAAGCTCCCGCTTACAGTCGTACTGACAAAGTGTCTAACATGGGATAAGTGCACAGAAAGCTTTTCCCAACTTGGAAAACCAAGTTGCAGACTGGAAAAAGTCGTCATAATGAGAGCTGGAGACACAGGGGTGGAAAAAAAGTGGAATGTGTCTCATGCCATTTCAGGCTTCAGGTATTAGATGGAAAGAAAAGCTAAAGAAACAAAAAGAAGGAAACGGAAGGGTGCTTTGGAATGCTTTATAACCATGTTAGAAATCAATAATAAAAAAATCAGATTTAATAGGAAAAACCAAGTATTCTTACTAGGTAGTATAAAACTGTTCATTCTTTTTTAATTTCAAAATTCATCAAAGGCTGATTACCTGAGATGATATTAAACATCCGTGGATTCAGGATAGCAGGACAGATAAGTCGAAGAAAAACAAAACCACTAAATGAGAAGGAGATTTTTTTCTTTAGAAAATTACTGCATATATGTTATATACACACACACGTATATATAAACAAAATCTTTAAAATAGTCATAAGAACCACAAATTTTACTCTGAACTACAGGGAAACCCAAATACAGAGAGCTTTAAAAAATAAAAATAGTAAGCCCAAGTATCTTAAGAACATACACAAATATTTCATAAAAGTATTACTCACTTTTCCCAAATTTAGAAATTTAGATTTACTTAGGGAAGATGTTAAGTTACATCTGTAGCATTTACTATCTTAACTACTATTTATTCCAGGCTAAGGGAGTCATTGGGTTATGCAAAGAGTTAATATGCTAAGCTGCTAACCGAAAGGCTGGTGATTCAAGTCCTCCAGAAGTACTTCAGAAGAAAGGCCTGGCAATCTACTTACCCCCGAAAAAAATCACATCATTGGAAACCCTGTGTAGCACAGTTCTACTCTGACACACATGGAGTTGCCATGAGTTGGAATCAACTTGATGGCAACTGGTCAGAAGTGTATTTTGTACTTAACTCTGAGGAAGCAGTGTCCTTAGGAACTCTGAAATTTTCTGAAATACTACATGAGTCCTAGTAAAGCTTTTTATAGCTACACAGTCCTATAATGATCCAAAACTTCCATTATTATTTATTTAAAGAACAACAGGTAGCGTCTGCTCTAAAGCAAGGTGCCTATATATATTTTGTTGATGCTTCATATGAAAATAAGAATCCATTTCACTAGGAAAAACATGGTCTCTTGATAAATGAAAATGTATACTACAGAAAGCTGAAAAGCTTTTAAGGTAATAAAGAAAAAGACATTAGGCTTTCTAAAATAGAAAAAATAAATTGTTACCAAATCACAAAATAGTAATAACAAGTAAGAATTACTATAAAAGCATATGGCATAGCAACAACTGTCAAATATGACTTTACTTTGGGAACAATGTAGTAATATAAAAATGCAAGCTTATATAGATAATCTTACTCTGCCTCCTTTGGTCACTGGTAGAGTATGTCATCATGTAGATAATTTTTCTCTAATTCCTTTTAGAAATTAGGTAATAGTTGACTCTCACTTGCCCCTTCTAAAGACAGTCCTTATTCCCAAAACAGTTTATAAAATTCCTTCTAGAGATTAAAACAATTGGTAGGGTCTCTGTTCTCTGTGTTGAGAGGATAATTCATCTTCTAAGCATCTACACTTTGAACCTATGACAGTGACAGTCTGCTAATTTTTGGACTCTTAGAAAATGCTATTCTCAGACAGCATTTATAATAATTATATAACAGCATTTATAATAATTATATAACAACAAAGTATTAAGTCCTTAAATTTGGATTTCTCTTAATTTATGAAGCTTGCATACATTTTGCTGGAAAACATTCTTTGAACATGAAACACTGCCTGGCAGTATGAACTATAAAAGATTTTCAGTGTGCAAATCTACTTTCTCTGAGTTTTTAGAGGTGCTGTTAAATTTGAGAGGGACACATAATTACCTACACATATTAAAAAGCTTACTAGGGACAGAATTCATCACTGTGAGCATAAATGCCCCTTAAAATACCGTGTCCATCAACCAATCTACATAGTAGGATTTCTTGCTGTGTTTGCTTAACAATTATACTTGCTAGAAACTTATAGTTTATAGAAAAGTTTTCATTTACATCACACACGACTGTGCTGAAACATTAATAACTTGCTTGCATGCTTGTAATTCTTTCTCTTCCTCCCAGTCACTGCTAAAATGAAGAAATACAGAGTCCACAACTCTTAAATATTTATAATTAACCAAAAGAGACTTTACCCCTTTATAAAATTTAGACTGTGGGCAGGATTAACATACATTTTCAAAACTAATTGTATCATACTGGTGTCTTTTTTGGTGGTTGCCTAATTTTTTATGGGATGTAATATGACCAGCAGTGTATAGTTTCATAATAAATTATTATGAAACTCTGTTCCAATGCTTTTGCATTAAACTTCCAATTGCTTTGAATGGGCTGGCGTTTGTTTCAACAAAAGCCTGCAATAGTGTTAAGGGTAACAGACTGGGTCTTAAAAGGTTTGCCTTTAGTTCTGCCTTTGTCACTTTCTGTACAGCCTTAGGAAACAATTTAACCTCTCCAGATCTACTTCCTCATTGGAAAAATAAGTTAGAATAATAATAGTGAAGTCCCTTTATATAAGCTCCAAAATTTCGTGACTGCCAAAGCAATTCTTTCTCATTATGTACAATGGGCAGAGTGAAATACAGGGGATCTGGCTTCAGAACTAGAGCCTCTGACTGACAATCAGCCTGGAGTCACTGATGGTATTACAAACCAATCTAAATGGTTCCACTATTGCTCTTCCCTTTGAACACCATATATCGACCATGTGTATGTGTGTATGTGGGGGGCACTATATGAAGTTAGCTACAAATTCTGTTGGTTATGACGCCTTTAAGCTCATTCTGTAAAAGTCTCAAATAGTTAACTGATAATAAATGAATGTTCAGGTTTTAACAAAAAACAAAAGGTAACTAAGTATCTCACAGTAACTTATAAAAATACAGTTAAGTTAAAGAATTACTTGAACTCAAAAAACATTCAACAAGGCACCGACATAAAAGTCAAAGAAAAAGGCGTTGAACTGTATGCTGTGTACTATTATTCTTCTAATTTTCAAAATTATCCACTCAACTATTAGTCTGTGTTATATACAGTAATGTAACAGATGAATTGACTAGCCTTACCTAACAACTCTGGTTCTCATGGTGGTATTTGTAGGCCACTTGTGCTGAACAGATTTTTGTAAACACCCATAAATATATCTCAGTGTCCTGCCAAAACAACACAATCATCTCAATACCAAAAGCAAGTGAAAATAACTCATCTCACTGCAGCCAAGAGTTAAAATGAGTGAAGCCATTTAACTATCTATTTACCCAAACATACCACATTTTAATATAAGGGCCTTTTCCCCCAAAAAAGTAATTTGCTCAAAATAACGAGTCATATTTAGCAACGGATAAGGAAAACTTTAATGTTTTCATCATCAATTTATTTAGCCAACATCTTAACATTTATTCTGGAAGAAATTTTACCATTTCTAGACTACTTCTATATTAATGAAAATGAAACAAGTATTTGAATGAGGATACACAGGGACTGATGAGTCCAAGTTTTGGGGAGACAGATTTTGGCTTAAGATGAGAAGTTAACTTCTACCTGAACAAATGAGTTCACTAATACTGGAAGCCTTTAAGCAGATACTGAGTGATTATCAGTATTATAATTTATTAGTAAAATTTATTTATTAGTAAAAATTGACAAGAAATTTCTTCAAAATTTGAAGAAACGCAAGCACAGAATAAATGGATGGACATGTCTTTTACTATCCCCTCAAATCTGAGACTATAAGCCTCTGCTCACTCCCCAAGTTACTACATAAACCAGACATACTGGCCTGTATAAAAACATGGTTTTATTTTAATGGAGATTATTTCACTCTGATTTTAATTCACTCTTTTCCTTAAACACAATTCATCATATAAAGATTAAAAACCGTTAACTTTTTCAGAGTCTAAAAACATCAGGACAATGGAAAAGCTTTCACATTTAAGAAATACAAATTTTTCAAAATGCAGATATACAATTTCTTGTCAAATTAAAATTTCACCACTTACGGTGGAAGTATTTCTGAAGCCATGAATATTTTCTCCACAAGCTCTGAAAGTATGTTCAATAGGTGTGCTAAATTAGTGTTCACATCTTCATTTTTTTCTAACTTTGATGGACTTAACTAAGAGAAGGAATAAATCAACATAAATGCATCTTGGCAATGACAAATGCAAATGAATGAAAGTAACCAAGCAACTGTAGTTTTCACTGCTATTTTTCCATTTTTTGTCTTTTGTATTTTTAAATAGTTTGCTCTACGGAACTCCTTTCTAATGGGTTTATTACCATCGATTCCTTATTATCCAACTTAAGAGCCAGTAGTGAGCATACAACAATTTTCCGTTCCTTTGGGACTAATCCCAACGTTCTCTTCTATTCAGTTACTGCACTTTGCCATAGATTTTTACAGGTACACAAAATCAGATTAGACTTTATTCATTTTAAATATAATATTCTCAACAAGAAGACAAAAACACAGCTTTAGTGGCCACTTTTTCACAAATATACTAGGAGTATTTAAATAGGAAGACAGATTGCCATACCACTACTATAAAGCCTAGCTTAATTTCTATTTGAAGGGGGAAAAATACTGATAGGAATATAAATGAGAGACTTATTTAATACCAAATGCCTTAGACGGAATCATGAACCTTTCTGGAAACTTTTCCAGTAAGCCCTGAAAAATTGTGAGCTAGTATCAAGGAATAGATTTATCTTAAGTGCAGAGACGCCCTAGCATTTCTGTATCATCCTTCATGGTTAAACCAACTATGGCATTACATCAGGTTTCCAACACTAAATCTCTCATTTATTCCCTTTATTAGTAAAAATTGACAGTTTAGTGCAGATTTTAACATTTGACAGCTGCCAGTGTACATTATCAAAAGCAGTTCTTTATTTTTTTGTATCACATTAAAAAAAATATATTTAGTGTCTTCCTTCTCTAGTTGCTTTACCTTCAAAATAAAATTAGAGGATAGTCAGTCATATAAGTGAGAGTCCACTCTTTATCTTAATGGTTTATTTTGAATTTACGCTGAAGCCTTAATTAATGCTAAGAGGATGCTTTTGTTTCCTTTGTTTTGGGGGTTATCTTGGTAACTCCACCCAAAAAACTTTCAAGAACAAACCTAGATGTTATGAAGTGCTACATAGAACGTAACCAGATTATACAATAAAAGTCTCTAGCAAAACCTTCAATTTACGTCAGGCACACATTTGGAAAGCAGCATATACTTATCATTAGTACAGTAGGGGAAATGACAAACTACTTTCATGAGTTTCTGCTGCAACTTGGTTTTTAATCCTAAAATAACATATATCCTTTTTAAAAATCTGTTTTCCATAAATACAGAAAATAGAATTGCTCTGATGATTAATTTTACAAAGCTAGTATTTTCCTTGAAATATAATTATCTATAAAGCATTACCTATTAAAATATGCTCTCTGCTGAAATACTTAAAGACATTAAATTCTTACCTCACAAGACTGCTTGCTTTCCATTATCTTTAAAATAGAGTCTTTCAAAGCATGATGAACAAACTGTGTAGCTGTGGCTTTCATATACTGCTCCATCAAGGTGCTTGCAAGTGTTGTAGCTCGAAATAGGGTAGTGGCTTCATCTACGTAAATATTTATATTAAAAGTTTAATTGTAAAGGATTGTACTGATGTGAACCAAATTAGAGATGAATTCATTTTTCCTCAACCACTATACAATTATGGCTATTTAAATGCTTTTTGCAGCACTGAAATACTGATTTTAATGATATCCTATATTTCTATAGATTTAACTCCACAAAAGACTTTCATATTCATTACCTCACTAGATCTTAAAACAGTAAATACCTCTATGTTCACATGAAAACAAACCAAAGGCTCAGAATGGTTAAGTGACTTATCTAAGATCATAGCCAGTTAGTAACAAAACTAGGACCAGATCCCAGCTTTGCTGCCCACTGATCCCATGCTGTTAAAAATTTTTGTTAATACCCCAAATAAGACTATAACATAAAATCCCAGTATTGTTAATTGGTTAACCTGAAACATGACTATTAATAAGTTTTAATAAAATTTTACTAAAACATGAAATTACAATCTCAGTTTAAAATATGTACCACCACTTAATCCATTCCTTGATAAATCCATATATTTATACATATTCTATGATTAGAAGGAAACAGCTCTAGATTTTACTTGAGGAATCTAGTAGCAAGCACTGTTAATGAGTCAAAGCGGCTAGTGAGTCAAGTAGTGGGGGAAAACAGGTTATTCTGACATATTTATGTGTCCTTTACAAAGCACTGTGTGTCCAGCTGTGATCTTTAATACATATCTATAGAAGCTACAAATAAAATGCAGCTGACACCCAACTACTGTGCAATGAGTAAGTAAAAAACGAGAGCATGGTAATTATACCAAATTATTCTTGATATCAAGTATTATATGCCACTGACCTGGATACAGAAATCACTTTCTTACCGTTTCTTTTTAACATTAATTTGCCATGATAGAAACCTCTATTAGAAATACTAGCCTCCAATAATACCAACATAAAAGTCAAAACTAGCATCCCAATTGCCATTTTTAATGAAGGAAAAATAGAATAACTTATTTTGCAAATGATTTAGCAATTTAATATATTCAAAGATAAAGTTGTCCATATATAGTTTATATATAAAATCTAACCCAATTTTTAAAAGCATCACACTAACACACTCATACTTTACCTTCCATGTTTATTTCTCTGTCATTTAGTGTACACAGCAACAATGATTCAAGCTTTTCATGAAGAAAAATCCTCAGTAGGATGCTAGCCAGTAGTGTTCGGTCTTGTCCACATACATGTGATAAAGCATAGACTACATGAAGTTCCTTTTGCAGTATAAGCTAAAAATGACATCAAAAAAGGCTGTTTAAGCATTAAGCATAGCACTAAGCATTCTCAGTGAGACCAGTAAGAAATGTATTTTGAATCTGTTTTTATATTTAGAAATGTGTTCTATTGAATACATTATTAAAAATAGAATGTATTTGTAGTCTACATATTTCTAGTCTCTCTTAAGCCCAACATCATACTACAAGGCCTTGCTTTTTAACCTTCTCTGACTGTCCATTTGCCACTAAGCTATAAAATTACTGTATTTAACTTAATGAATCTTTTATTAAATGTTTAATGTTTCTGTTAATAATGCCATCAAAAATAATTAGACTGGTAAGTAATACCTCTTTAAATTCACTGTACTCTTCTTCTGGCATGATTTTTTCCATAGAATATCGTGCTCGGACACGCAAGGATCCTGGTTCAATACCTTTTAACGGTATGTGGGAGCTGAGCAGAAACCATTCATCTGTGGCATGTCCTTTCTGTAATCGACTCAACTGGCAGCGCATAAATACTTTGATAGAAAAACATTATCAAATGATTACTGTCTAAAAAGATGACACTATAATTAGTTACATAAATGCATTTTCCTGATGCTCAGTCTCTATGGTGTTAAATGCTTTTTATTAAAGGAGTTTTCAATGACATCACAAATTGAATATTTATTCACTTACTTGAATGCCTACTATGCTGTGACAAGTAGGGACAAGGGATTCAGAAATGATTACGACATGAGTCTCTGACTTCTGTGGAGGTCAGTCTAGCCAAGAAGGCAAGAAATATATCACAGTACAGTGTGAAAAGTGCTATAACAGTGGTTAGTGCTATTGTAGTATACAGAAATAATATCTAATTTAGCCTAAGGAGGTTAAAAAGTCCATTCCAAACAGGTAATCCTTCAGCTGACTTTTAACAGGATCTGGAGGTGTAGCTAAGTAGGAAGATGGGGTGGGGGTGGGGAGGGATATATTCCAAACAGAAGGCACAGCAGATGCTTTTAAAACCCATGGACAATTTAAGAACTAGAAGAAAGCTGGGATGGCTTGTGAGAAGGATATACAAAAGATTATAGTGGACGTGGAGGGAGGTGGTTCAGGAAAGGGCCTTCCTTGTGTGTCATTACTAGGGGTTTGAACTTTATCTTAAAAGTAAAGTAGGGCACCACTAAAAAATGTTAAACACTTAAATAGTATAGAAATTACAGAATAAACATTTTATAAAGGAAAAATTCAGGCTTTGATCTTTAATACATATCATCACTTCCTTCCCTAAGCCTGAATTTTTAAGAAGGTATTAACCTAATTTACCCTAGTGTGAATTGCTAAGACCTACTGCCAACTGTTTCAGCAACAGAATGGAAAAAGATGTGCTGCTGAGAACAAGGACTGGGAGGGTTTAACTACCAGAAGTGAATAAATAAAAGTATTCTAGTTCAGAGGAATTTTTTTTTTTTTTTTAAATAGGCTGCTCTTTTCAACCACTTTATAAGGGACTTATATCCTATGTATAGGAAAGTAGAAAATAACCTAGAAAGTAGAAAGAATGTAGGTGGTGGAGTACCACAGAGAGAGGGTCACCGTTACCATTTTAGTGTTATTACTCTTCAGTGGGGGTGGGGGAGCAGGAGGATGGATAGATAAATATTTAAATTTAAGGGATTAAGTTTCCAGTATATACAGTTCAGCCACTTTGGTCTTTTTTTTTCTTTCCTAGATACATACTTTCCAAACAAAAGTATAAAAAGAAACTATCTTAAATTACACTACATGCACTTAAATTTTTTTTAACTTCTATTTTAAGATGTTCCATTATGAATTTTAAAAGTACGTATATAAAACATGCTTACTTTAGAAATAAATTTTTTTTATCAACTTACAGATATCAGGATCTTTGCTTTTCTTTGTTTTATTACTAAGAGTTATTTCAAATCTGTTGATGTCAGGAGGAAGATCACTAAAGGAGCAAGGATAAACAGAATTAACAAATTGTTCTGGCATCAAACTATCTGATTTCCTTTAGTTCTGGGATCAAATAAGCCTCCTGTTTCTGCTAAACAACTTGAGTATGCCAGATTTAAAAGTAAACTCAAAACACGTTTTATGATTTGGTACGCAGGAACACAGAGAAGCAAATTACACACTTTTCGTACCATCTTTAATCCCCTAAACTAGCAACAATTAATTCAAGTAAGCCCTGGAAGCCCTAGTAAACATTTTGTGTGTAGGAGTTAGTAAATGTTGGACTTACAATGTTGACTCACATTAATAATCAGGTGAAAAACCAACAACTTACCATTTTACTAATAAAAGTGAGCAAATAGAACAGAAAATAATTCTATATACTACTAAAACACATGAACCTGGCAACTTATTCTGACAGTTTAGCTATAAAGACAGAAAATGGGACCAAGATGCAATATAGTAAAATAAAATGATTTAATGTAATGATAAAATAAGACTTACTCAAAGACAAACTCTTCTGACCAAACAGGGTTTTGCCCTTCTCTTGCGTGAGTTTTTGCTACCTGGACACTATTCAGGTAGATATTACAATATGGATTAGTAAAATGTTTTACTGGGAGTTTATGTGCTTCTTCAATGTGTAAAACAAGACTGCTGACCTAAAGAAAAGACAAAAATAGTTACCTCAGATTTCAAGAATTATGCAGTAGGTTTCAAAAGCAATTACTATAGATTTTTACAAAAACCCATAATAGTGTTTTTCTCCTTTTTCAGAAAATAAGCTTCAGTTATATTTTCCCTTTTATGTGATCTATTATAAAAGACAACATTCAAGTCTTCAAAATAATTGGTCCCTGTTTAAAAAAAAAAATGTAATTTTATAAGTTATTCCTCCACTTATATTGAAATATATACTGAATATTTTAATATGTATATTTCAATTGAATATATAAATGATATACACCTTTTCCCCGTAAGACAATGATTCAGAGAAAATAAAGTTGAGAAGTAGGAACACTGGATTTCTATAAAGGGTTTTACAGCTAAAAAATATTTTTAAAACACTGAATCTACCTACTCATTTTACAGAAAACGATACAGATCCAAAGAAGCTAAGTTACTTGTCAGGAGTCTAAGCTGTGGTGCCAAAAGTTAGGCCATCCATCTCCTAGTATTAGGTTTTCTTTCTCTCCTATCACCTACTGCTTATGTGGCCTTGTAAAAGTCAGTATCTCTGCACCTCACTTTCCTCATATATAAAATAAAGTCTACATTGCAAGATTGTTGTAAGGATTAGAAACTATACATGTAAAGCATGTAGCAGAGTACTTAATACAGAAAAGAACTCAAGTAATGTTAGCTATGATTGTATCATATTACAATGGTAATTTGTACGAATGGTAATTTCACGGCTATAGTTCCACACAAGACACACCTTGTTCTTTTTTGAAAAAATTCAGTCTGATTTGCCATATCTTATAAAATGTCACAATATCTTTTGAGGACACATAGATATTATCTGTGTGATTAATGTCCTTGAGGGAAGGGTCAGCCTCTTGGTTACAAGGGCTATTTAGTAACCCTAAATGTTAACCATTTATCCACTCCCAACAGAACAATATGCTAAGTTCACTGAGCTTATTGGAAATTTCCATATATAGAACAAGAATCACTTTCATTAATAGCTACTATATTAAAATTTCCTCAAACCCCAAGAATGTCAAAATCTGTCTTGCAATTATCTAGGAAAACTACAAAGAAAATAAAAGAGGAAAGAAATGGAGAATATAAAGTTGACCCTTACATACGTATAAAGAGAAAGCCTAGCTCTGACTCTTCATAAATTAAAGTATAGGACATGTTAAGGTTTCAAAAAAGATAGGATACCACCTAAGAGTTATGCAGTAGGTTTCAAAAGCAATTACTATAAAATAATAATCCCACAAATTTATCAAATAATCTTTTCAATAAATATATTTTAGTTCTCCGTTTTTTAAATAGGTCAAAATAAGTTTTTAGAGAAAAAGTAATAATAAAAACACCCAAAAGAATACTTTCTCTTATTGTTAGTTTGGTTTTATTTTAAGTGGAAGAATAAATAAGCTTTGGTATTATAAATAAACCATGGTATTTCCAATCACCTCACATGCATGCAAAAGCTGGACAATGAATACGGAAGACTAAAGAAGAACTGATGCCTTTGAATTATGATGTTGGCAAAGAATATTGAATATACCATGGACTGCCAGAAAAACGAACAAATCTGTCTTGGAAGAAGTACAACCAGAATGCTCCTCACAAGCAAAGGTGGAAAGACTTCATCTCATGTACTTTAGACAGTTTATCAGGAGGGACCAGTCTCTGGAGAAGGACATCATGCTTGGTAAAGTAGAGGGTCAGCGAAAAAGAGGAAGACCCTCAATGAGATGGATTGATACAGTGGCTGCAACAATGGGCTCAAATATAACAATGATTGTGACGATGGCACAGGACCGGGCAGTGTTTCATTCTGTTGTATATAGGGTCGCTATGACTCAGAACCAACTTGATGGCACCTAACAACAACATGTATTCAAAAACTGAAATTATGGACCAAGAACCCAGCTGGTATATTAAAGAAAAACCTGCTTCAAAAAAATAACTATTTCTCCCGCTACTGAAGCTAGGGGCAGCATGGCTTTAAAATGCCTGAAAAGATTAACCTTTCTGAAGAATTCTAAAGTGTTTGAAAATCTTGCCCAAAATAATTCAGGTAGAAATGAAAAAACAAAGAGCAAAGGGACAGAACAAAATGTGACAATTACAAATGAAAGAAAACAATGTTTCACCTGACGCAGGCGTTTATTAGATGTCCCAGGACTACTTTTCCGTAAATTACAAAATGCCTGCAGACCTTTCATCCAGTCCTACAAAAAATAACACAGCATTTCAAAGAAATATGTTATACATTAGTTTATTTAGTTTCCAGTCATCAATTAGCTTTTCAAATTCAGTATTCTTTCCTTACCTAGACTGCCATTTCTAAGAGTGTAATACAGTTTAATATATTTGTGACCTACTGTTTAAAGTAAAACAATAACCAAAACAATTATAATTATTCTTTTAAAAAAATATTCTGTAGAATCTCTAAGTTAATGCTACGTACACTAAGGGATGGCCTTTTATTAGCAAAAAACATATTTAATTAAAGAGACTGTTTCTCCCAAAGACTACCTTGGACAAAAATGCCTAGGTATATATTAAGCTGGTCCCTGAGTGGCACAAGCGGTTTGCAACAGGCTACTAAAGGTCAGCAATTCAAACCACCCAGCAGTGCCATGGAAGATCTGCTTCTATAAAACATTACAGCCACTCCTCATTTACAGACATGGTTAGGTTCTAAAGACCAAGCTGTTGTGCAAAAATCGGCATTATGCAAAAATGGAGGATTTTTTTTCCTGTTTTCAGACCATCCATTTGTCCAATTTTTTTTTAATTTCACAAATATGATCACAGTGCTCATCACTGTGATGAGTCCAGTTACGGATTATTCCTCTACATAAAAGGAGGCATGGAAGAGACAAAGCTGGATAAAGCCAGGCTGTGTAACTGAAGTGCCCATGGCTTAACCACTTCACCTTTCTCCAGTGCTGGGTCAGAGCTTCTCTTGTGGAGCTGCCTCCAGGGCTCCACTCCCATCCCTGTAAGCCCTGCATTCACGATCCCAGAGCCTGCTCTGCTCTCCAGGCCTAGCAAGTCAGCAAGGCTTGGGGCTTCCTACGAGGGTGCTGGGAGTCTGGCCTTACACCTGCCACTGAGGTGGAGGCTTCAGACCCAGCTCAGTCATTTTGGGATGCTACTAAACTTGCACGCATTTCATCCAAAGACCTCTCCAATGCCTCTTTTCCTCCCTTTGCACCCTGCAGCAATTTTGAGCCACAGGGCCTCAGGTCACATAGAAGCTGGGAACCCAAAACAAGCTCCTGCTGGCTGGGAAAGGCCACTGGGGAGGCCGCCCCTGACTGCAGGACAGAGTAGAGGTCAAGGGGCAGCACAGCGCCCCTACCGGCAGAAAGGAGGAAGTGGGGCAGTAGGACCCAGCTTCCTGGAGGCCTCCTGGAGACTGTCCTCAAGGGAAGGGACGCTCCACAGTCATTATGCCTATCGACTCATTAATGTGCGGAACAGCCAGATTTTTTACTACTGTCCTAAGTGTGAGTGTCAGATAACAAGATAGTGGATAACTGAGGAGTAGGTGTACAGCCAAGCAAATCCTATGGAGCAATTCTACTCTATAGCGTGTGGGGTCGCCATGAGTCAGAATTAACTGGAGGGCAATGGGTTTGGGATTTTTTGGTTTATATTTAAGCTGTTACTTAAGGCACCCTACGGCAGATTTTAATTTGATACGTTCTGTGAACAGGATTGATATTAATTGCAAAATCAAATTACAATGTGATGATGATGGATTTGATGAAAAGCATTGTAATCTTTTACCTTAGACCATAATACAGACAAAAATTTATAAGGATTTTGGGTTATCTGTAAGCTATAAGTCTTTCAAATATAACATCAGATTAAAAAAAAATTTCAGTCTAATATCCAATTAAATTACAGCTATTTTTTTTTAATGTTTAAATAGTGCTCTGGAGAAAAGCAAACAACTTTAGGTTTTTTAAAAAGAAATCTAAATATTTCACTTTGGCATACATATTTATGGAAAGCTCCTTGCTATTGCTTTAGTCTATTATGTCTTTAGTTTGTTTGCTACTTCAATGAATTTAAACTCTGTCAATGTTAAAAGCCTTTATAGAGCAAATTAAGACCAAGTCAACTACCACGGCTTTTAGAAGTAACAAGAGTAAACAGAGACCCCACAGCCCACCAAAACCAACAAAAAATGGAAATACCACTTAAAGTCAAAACTCGTTTCGACTTTAAGTGGTATGCAGAAATATGAAATATGGAAAAGAGTAAGTATAAATACAATAATAAAATGTCCCATTTATACACCTAAGTGAGGCATGCAAAACACACTGAAATGTCATCAGGGTATGTGGCATATCTTTATACATAAAGACGGAAGATTTCTAACATTTTAAAATAATGACTAAGTCACCTAAATATTTTGAGACCTACTTTTACTATTTGTAAATTCAGGATATCTTATCAACCCACCACCATCGAGTTGATTCTGACTCACAGTGACCCTGTAAGACAGAGTAGAACTGTCCCATAGAGTTTCCAAGGCTAGAATCTTTATGGAAGGAGACTGCCACATCTTTCTCCTGCGGAGCGGCTGGTGGGTTTGAACCTCCAACCCTTCAGTTATCAGCCGAGCACTTAACCACTGCACCACCAGGGCTCCTTAAGTTTAGGATGTATAGCCACAAAAAAGGTTTTATGACAGTTACATGTTGAATGGGTATTTAGTTGAGCTATTATGCAAAGATCTGAAATATCACATTCAATTGTGAGCCATAAAACATAAAAGCTCATTCATCAAATTTATACTATGAGTTTAAGACATTTTTGTAATTTATGAGTCAGGGGTCAATGTCAGGATTCAGTTTTAGGAGGATGAGTCGGAATAGACTAGACAGCAATGGGTTTTTGGGTTTTGGCCTCATATTTAGGATTGGCAAATTATATTCTATTTCCAACAAAATCACTTTCTTTTGACTTCTTAACCCACTTCAGGTTCTTTCCATAGAGTATAAGCAGAAAAACAGCCACATATATAATTCAACTAAACACCCACAGAAATATTATGGTTCAAAGAAAGCAATACATTTTTAAAAACAAGATTTTTAAAAACATTATTTCTTCACAGAACTACTTAAAATTTAATTAAAGTTATTTTAGAAGGGCTTGCACATGGATCAGTGGCTAGTATTGGAAGCAGATATGGTATCTAGACTTAAAGAGAAAATAAAAGAAAATTCCCAAAATATTTTTCCTCTTGATGACTGAACTTTTATTTTTAGACATGGTGCTCAATCAATGAAGAATAAAAACACTCATTAACAAAACTAACTGGCTTATCTTAGACTGTACGGAGAATATGTATAACCTTTATGCAGAGATTTTAAATGAGCATTCTCAGTTGGATTTAACAGTACGGAATACAAGTTCAATTTAAAATGGAATAATCCTTAACTTAAAAACTGTTTTTTTACATTTGTTTCAAAAAGTTTCTTACAAATAATGTTCTCATTCCTTA